ACTATAAAGAGTTAGGTACCAGTCAGTTCTATCAGATTGGGAGACCCTAACCTGTGGCGTATCGCAAGGTACTAAACTCGGTGAAATTGTTTTCCGGTCTGCTGTAGATGATGCCGTTGAAAACGCAGATTGTGAAAAGTGGAAATTTATCGATGACCTGTCTTTGGGGGAAGTAGTTGGTGTTAACGCCACTTCTTCCCTACAAAAAGATGATGATTTAGCACAATGGTCAACCATGAACAAATTCCAGTTGAATGCTTCTAAATGCAAACAACATGAATTTTGTTTCATAAAGTCTCCACTCAATTTACCTCCTTTAAAGATTAATGGCTGAGTCCTGAAAAAAGTAAGCACCGCTCAAATTCTGGGTGTTTTCATCCAGGACGATTTGAAATGTTATACCCAAGTTGATATAATCGTTTGCAAAGGTGGAAGACGTCTTCACATGCTCAGCCTTTTGAAACAGTACGGAGTACCATTTTGATGACCTTGTCCAAGTTTACACCACTTATGTTCGACCGATTTTTTAATATGCTATACCAGTATGGCATTCTGAGTAGAGCATGCAGAATGCCCGGTCAAGATTTTTCTGACTATAGTACTTCTTTAGACAATCTTAACATTACCCGTCTTGATGGACACATAGGCTTATGTCGCAAATTTTGCTTCAGACTGTTTAAATTCTGATAAATTTAGCAATTGGTTCACTAGAAACCATGATATAACCATGGAGGTACAGTCAATCTTAGGAAAATAAAACAATACTTAGAGCCTATTTGTAGAACTAAGGGATTTTGCAATAGCCCTAGGCTGTACCTTACACGCCTACTTAATGAAAGTAATTCAACTTAAACTGGTTTTTTTTATTTTGTAAATATAAGAAATTGAATACGGAATATGAATTGTATATATAAAACATTAATAAATAATTCTTGTAATATTTTAATTGATAAAATATAATTATTACTATTTTATTCTGTAATCACATATTTTATTTTATACATTTATTATTATATATTTTAACTTTATTTTACTGATCTAATTTTTATACAGTTTTTAATCTGAATTTGCAGTATGTGTTTTGTTAATCAATGTAATTAATCTTTTGAAGTTTTTATTTTTGTTGTATTATTGTATCATTTAATTCAGTCCTCGACTGCGATTTTGATACTGAATAAAATAAAATGAAATGAAATGAATATATATATATATATATATATATAAAGCTGTCTTCCGTCTGTCTCTTATACACATCTAGATGTGTATAAGAGACAGATATATATATCTGGTCAGGTGGCGCCAAATTGCGCTGCTGTGGCCTTCACAAGAGCACGCCATCTTCTTCTGTCTGGTGCCAAATGAATTGCACCATACATTCATTGTGTCGTAACTTTCTTTATGTCATCAATCCAAGATGTTGATGGACGTCCCCTTCCACGATAGCCTTCCACAGCTCCCTGAAGAATTTGCTTTTCAATTCCACTATCGTTCCTTACAATGTGACCAAAGTATCTTAGTTTTCTCTCAATATTGGTCTTCCTGACACTTAAGTATGAACCAATCTTGTCCAAAACCCAGATGTTTGTCTTCCTGTCGTCTTTCCAGGATACTCCCAAAAGCTCCTGTAGCACCACATCTCAAATTCTAATGTATAAATTTATATACATTTATACATTAGAAAATTAAGATTCCACGTTTAATATTTCAAACACTCATGTGTTCTTCCTCTTTACATAAAATTGCCTGATTTTTTTTGCTCAACGGTAATATTGATCACTCTTATCTTTTAATCATTATATATATATATATATATATATATATATATATATAATATTGAAGAAAGTTTATCTGGCCGAACGCCCTCTTGAGGCATAGCATTGTGTAATACAATGTTCCCGACGGGTAATAACGTAAATAATCTATGGAAGAAGGCAAGGTCCCAAAAAGATGAAATTCTTGTGGTGGGCATGCCTCAAAGGAAATAGAAGCCAATAAAGGAAAAAGAAAACCAAAATAAACAAATGCGTGAAAAACTAAACGGGAAATAAAAAAAACTTTACGAAGACAATGAAAACATTAGCC